TGCAAGGTACATTCTAAGGTCTGTATTAAGCACCCTTCTGCATGCTCACCTCAGGTAAGATATATGGTATGAACTCCATCCTATGTGGCACTGAACACTGTGTCCCTAACAGAGATCTTAACACTGCAGCTAAGCACATGCTTAACTCAAACACCTGGGTAATCCTTTTGATGATAAGCCTGTGCCTAAGTGCTTTATTGGATCTCAGCCAGAGTGCTCTATGCCTTGCAAAGCTGAACTCCAAATGGGATAAAACATCACCTACGTGTTGAAGAAAAGGTAAGGATCTCAGTCCCACCTGGGGCTGCCAGAAGCGGATGGGCTGTTCTGTTGACATGGGGAGAACACACTATCTGCAAAACCAACTTGGCCTTACATTGATCAGGCGAGTACTTCCTTCCCTCATTATAAAGCAATTTATTTCGTTTTATTTTCTAATAAGATAACTCCTACTCTTACTCCTAGTTTTGCTTCATTACTAATTCTGCCAAGGCTCGTGAAGTCCGTACACTTCTGCAATGCATACTCAAGGAGGAACTGTAGGCAAGGAACCTGCTTTGTACTGCACCACTTTCCAACCAGCTGGTCAAGTAGCTCCGCACGTTAACACTCCTAAAGACAATTCAAGGGAAAGCTGAGGTTTGGTCTGTAAGTCAGAGCATGGATCCTGAAGCGTCAGACAACCACAGAAAATTGTTTGTTTAACAATGGGACATGTTCTGTATCCCAAAGAAAAATGTTCAGAAATAATGAAGAATTGGTTCCTTTTACTTTCCCTTCTTGCATAATTCCTAATTAGTGGTCCATCCTAGCGCCATTTCACTGAGTACGAGGAATTTCTTTCCCTCCATGCCAACGTAGTTTAGTAGGGATATCTAAGCAGGAGTTGTAAGATATGTGCATCTCCTGCCCAGCTCTTAAGGTGTTGCTTTATATTCTGCTTTTTATGCCAAGAGACAGATGCTACTTTCAACTTTCTGACAAAGGCTTTCCAAAGGAGCACCCAAAAACAGAGGGTAACAGATACACCAAGAGAAACCCGCCAATAATTCCCACTGATCTCATTCAGTCTTTGGATGCTGAGAGCAGCAGGAAAATCAAGCCATCATTTCAGGCACCACAACATAGCTTTGGGAGCATATATTTTAGATTCCAGTTCTAAAAACCTATATCCTTACGTTTTATAACTTATTACTTATTTTTTCATAAAGATAGATAGTATATTTGGAACCCAAAACCTCCAAATACTCCTACATTCAAATTTAAAACCATTTCCAAATCAAAGAGTGCAAAACTGAAACTTAAAATCACAGCTCCTCCAGTCCCTGCAGACCAGTGGGAAGCCTTTGCTCCAGATCAATTTTTAAGAAGCTGCTCAGCCTTCCCTGAAGATGTACATCAGAAATGTTTGAGAGGCAAACAAATAGCTTCCTAATTTCCATTCAGAAGTAATAGCCTCAAGTCAAGCCTCTTCCACTGAATCTATGATGTTTTTCAGCTTCACTGCCGTGAAAGGAAAATATACTCTGCTCTATAAGCACATTATATGGTGCTTTATAAAGCTCTAAAGTATTTTTTACTTCTCTGACATGTTTGATTTATTAAAGTTTATTGCTCTTGTTCCCACCTTTCTAAATAAAGAAGTCAAAGTAGAGGATATAAAGAGCTGCAAAGACGTTGTCCCCATGAATGAGACTTGTAGAGCTTGCTATAGCAATAAGAGACCTGAATTTGAATATTCACCCCACTCTGGAAGACTCTGGTGGGAGGTGGGTGCATTGGTGACCTGTGTGAAGGCTCTCTTTGAAATACTCTCTGAGTTGTTTTTCATAGCAGGGCATGAACTATGATGAAATCACTACATTTGTGTGCTTCGCTTTTGTTTAAAAAATTACTGCCATCCTTTAAAAGCTTGTTTTCTTTGTTGATTAAGCAGCAGTCAATTTTCCCTTTTCAAACAACCCCTGAGCAACAGCCACCTGACCCCCTCGGATGGTCGGGCTGCCGGCAAATACTAAAACCACGGTGACAAACTGCAAAAAAGCTTGACCTTTCCCCCTGTCCGGTGACCCCGTGTTCGATTTGTGCTTTAACCAACCAATACCTGATTAGATAATGCTTTGCTCCAGACCCACAAAATGAGATAAAATTCAAATTTATGGCTTTTCATTTAAACTGGTCCGCAGCACTCTAATCACGACCCAAGCAGGACGATATCACAACAAATTCTCTGTCCCATGGTATGTTTTATGGCTGAAGTGGATAAATGGACACAACATTGGACATTGTTTTCTCAGTCTTGCTCTTGACAAACTCTGCAGTGATGCCATGGGGAGCCTTGCTATGGGGGGGATGTAGGCACAGGTGCCACAACATTCCTCAGCTTTCTGCAGCAAATTTTTCTACATCTCCTGACTGGCTGCAAAAGTCAATAGCAGCACTTCCTCCAGCTTCCCCTTCCCTCCTGGCTGCTGCATGCTGATCCTGGTACCCACGCAAACAGAACACAGTCACAAACAACAGAAATAATATCGCAAAGCTGGAAATACCCAACACCGTGACTTTTTTGTGTGTGTGTTGTGGGTTGGGTTTTTTTTGTTTGTTTATAGAGGAGTAAGAGAAAAGAGTAAATCGGCAATATGAAAGCAACAGAAAATAGTTAAGGAAGATGCTCGGTTTTCCTTCAAGAATTATTTTAACATGGTTATACTGTTTTCTTGAAGAGTGATTCCTTCAGCGTGCTTGAAAGTCAAGCACTATCGTATGTTCACTGTTTCATAGAGAAATGCATATCAAATGGAGAAGCAGGCTTCCCATGCTGACAGCAGGAGAAACGCCCAGTTTTATAAAAGTGCCCATTCAGGCAGAAAAAGGGACACCAGAAAAGTTTACCTTCCCCAAACTGTGCTGAACCACAGATAAATGATACCTTTTCCCATAGCTACCCCATGCTTTCTGTGGCATTCTCTGAGCCCACACACTGCTAAGTTTCTTTTTCATCCCAAGGCATGGATCCAAAGAGATGCTGGTTTCCAGAGCAGCTGATGGTGAGCATCTGGGCTCGGATGTTGGTGAGGTCTTCTGCAGCACTACCACATCCCCCACATCTGTCCTTTAGCCTTGACCTCCCCTGCTCACCACTTCACTCGCTGTGTAGACTCTGGTAACCAGCATTTCTTTGTCTCCCTTCAATTCCAATAAATGTACTTAACCCACTTGTTGGAAAAATATTCTGTGTCAGGCTCCCTTGAGCACTGCAGAGTACTTATGGATGAGTGGCCAAATTACAGAGGGAGTCTGACTGTTGATTCTGTGTGATTTTCTTCCAACACTTTTCAATAGCTTCTCCCCAGCTGTCCCAAATATATAACACTGTTCGAAAGGCACGAGTCTCGCAGTGTGAAAGGGATTCAAATCTGCCAGATTTATCAAGTTATGCATTTTTTTATTATTATTATTCATAAGGCTACAAAGTCCTAAATATCTGAACCATCAAAACTAGTCCTTACTTTTGCAGTATATTATCAATACCCAAGGGCACACAAATCAAAATGCAGTCTAAAATTTCAAAGTGTTAAACCTGAAGGAACAGTCGTGTCTCAGCACTTCGGTTCCAGTTTCTGTTATCAATATCTGAGCTTAATTGCGGTGTGGTTAAAAGTCAGCTTTTATGGTTTCCTGGTGCCTTGGTCAAAAAAGAAAGATTTCTCACCAGCAGTTCCATTTCATCAGGGTCTGTTAACTTGATAGAGTGCTGCAAAGTCTATAATTTCTGCTGACACTATTCTGTCGTATTGTCACTGCTCTCACAAGTGTTTAAACAACTGCATAGGAAGTCTGGAATGAACTCATCGAGGATTTATTGACAGTTAAGAGCTAACCAAATGTTTATTATCCACCATATCGGTGAGGTTCTGCTCCACAGAGGAACTCCACTTTTCCTGGGAACATGAAACTCCCGTGTACCCAGAGGTCAGGCGCAGCCCTGGGGAGCAGCACAAACTCCACACTTCTCCCCTTATCAGAAACCAAAGGAAAAGCACAGATGGCAAGCCGAGATCGTACTTTATTTCCACAGCCCACTGTTAGAACTGCAAATAAAACTATGCAAGAACAGTTCTTACAGTGCATGTACTATCCTCCGGGTTGAGGTCGGGGACGACTGACTCGCCCTACAACCATCCTCACTGCTTTGTGTCTACAGCCCCATAGGCCACCATTTAATGCCAGATATAGGAGAAAATTGCCTTCCCACTGCCACGAAGGAAAAAATTCAATGAGACCACAGCCCTGTGATATAACAGCAGAGAAAACATGTTGTTCCTGAAGGCAGGGAATGCAAAAGGCAACCGCAGTACTCACTGAAGGAGGCCTTCAGCTCCTGCATGAAAACCAACATTTCTCAGAGCATCTGCAGAAGTAACATGATCCACGCCATCCCCATGTGTGCTCGGTTTCTGACACTAGCATCCAAACATACTTTCACTGAATGAATGGCAAAATTCCCATTAACTTAAATGAAAGCAGGATCAAACCCTCCACTTTCAAAGCCCCCAGGGCTCTGCAATAGCAATTTAATGTACTAATTGTTGTCACCAGCAAGTGGTGATGCACAACACTGAAAGCAGCACCCAGCATCTTTACAGACAGACAGCACAGTGCCACCAACAGATCCCTCAACCTATCCCATGGCAGGGCTGCACGTGAGTGAGCTGAAACAGTGCAGAAATGTTCCGATAATACCACGTCTGCCTCTCCTTCCCAGAAAGGGAGGTCACCAGCCAATATCCACCCACACAGATTTCATGCATGAAGAGCAACAACAATTCCTGCTTTTTTTTTTTTTTTTTTTTTTGCTTTTTTTTTTTCCCTTAAATTTACATTCACTTTCATCCAGAAAGCACCGCAAGGCCATGAAACAGTCTCAGTGTACACAAATATTCCCTGGCTGCTGCAGGATAGGACTCAAATTCTGCAAATACCTCTGTGTTTATAGACATTCAAGAGAACTCAACAGGCTGAAGGAATGCAAAGTGTCTTACCTCCCAACCGTAACTGGGATCTTTGAGGTGTGGCCGCTGCTCTCCCGTGAAAGGGCCGAACTTTTCTCCTATTTCAATCTTCCTTTTGGTCCATATCCCTAATCCCGCTCCAGGAATGTTGGATTCTCGGAGCTCAAATTCGGAAGGAATGGGAATGTCATCAGGAATGTATATCGTAGCCTTGTAAGGAGAGCTCTCCTTTGGTGTGAAAGCTTCGCTGGAGGTGGTTGGAGAGGATGGCTCCTGGATGCTGACAGATGCTGGGCACTGGGCGTTTGCAGCCTCTCCATCAGCTTCTGGCACTTCCTCCAAGGGAAGCTCAGGAAAGCTTTCATACAGGCATTCATCACCTGAAAAAGAAAGCCAAATGGTAGGATTTGAAAATATCCTGACAGGTTTTGCATGTGAAACCTTTTCACAAAATGGAGAGGACAGTTCGGTAGGCGGGCAGCACCCTCATCAATCACTGGTTCCCCTCGCCCTGCCAGGAGCTGAGCCTTCTCCCCATTGCAAGCCCAGGGGTTCTCTGTGACATTTCTCAGTGCTCCTGACATCAAAAGTGGTTTACATCACCAAACACAAAAAAGTGAATTACATACAGATGTACGTGCAGGCTCACCCTATTGTCCAATCTGGTCCGGATATAGCGCTTTGCATTGCACGCTCTTTGAAATTGCAATTGAAAGCCTGCATTATATGTTACAATTGAAATCTAAGTGAAGTGAAAAGCAGGAAAGCTTTACCGGTCTTTCAGAGAGACAGCCTGAACCTAGAGTAGCCAAAATTAAGTTTGATGGGCTCCAATTAGTTTTGGGAGGAAAGGATCCAGCCTACCACACAACTATTGGCAAGCACTTCAGCTGATGTAAATCAGTGTCTCATCACTGACCTCCATGAAATTCAATGGTCTGAAATAAGTCCAGGATCTAAACTGCGTCTTACAGAGAACACAAACCTTCTCCTCTTACAGAAGAAACTGGGGTAAATCCAAAAAAATTGAAAACAAAAACCTTTGTCGCTGGCACTTAGCCAGCAAACAAACAACAACAACAACAACAAAAGAGGAAAAACACACTATTTCTGACAGCTCGAACTATAAGGCTGATTGTAAATTCCTTTTAGCAAAGAAAAGAAACCTCAGAGTGACCTCAGCAGGGATTTTAGCTGCATCAGGAATACGGCGTTCAACCCACCAGTGTATGCAAAGGACACAAAAAGAGCAATTCCTCATAGCTTACATTAATTTACCTTTCTCTCTCTCACTGTACTTTTCCTTCGCATCAAAACGCATTCCACTTAACTCTAACTGAATAGGATGTGTGAATACTATTCTCCAAGGGACAAAGTTGAGAGATCGGGTATCTGAGCATGGGAATATTTGCATAATATGATGGCCCAGAAATTAGAGTGTTCCGCTGTGCTCGGCGACCAGAATGACTCCGTCTCAGTGAAGAAACAGGAAACTTTAAAATGTTCTTTCAATTTCTTGCTCATTTAAGAAACTATCCATGGTAGATTAGCACCGTATGCCTTTTCCACTAAAAACTGGTCATAGCCCATTATCTCTCACATCTTTGTTACATATTATCTCACCGCATTCTATCTGTACTTTCATGCTTCTGGTGCTGCCTAAGACAAACACTGGGACATAACAAATCATTTGAATAGATTGCTCCCATCACATGACTGGTAAACTGGATTCTTCATCTGTGAGCAATTTATTCACAGCCATGAACTGTTTTTCTTTCTTTCATGTGGCACTGGCTATGACCTCATGCATGTCACAGGAAAGTTCAGCTACCCACTCCCTCTGTCTCTGCCTTGGCGGGCTCCCCCTGTCCTCTAGCGACTGAACCCTGTATTGATCAGTTTGCCACTTTTCTAATACCTGGCACTCTGAGAAGCAGAAAATCTTGACTGACCCCACCATTCGGCTGAGATGGGTGCACAGTGGGATTTTCCATCATTTACGTTTAGGAAATCCTGCCTGTAATAGCTCATCAGTGCTTTGTTTTGGCGAAGGTGCTCAAGGAAAGTCATGAAAAAGAGCTTGAAGCATCCTTAAGTCCACGCCTGGACTTTCCTGTCCTGCAGCAAAACTCAGCCTGGACTGCAGGGGACAAGAAAGAAGTCATGGAAAGGGCAGGGACACAGCTCCACCTGGATGCCAAGATTCACTTCACTGCTCCATGCTGAAGTGACCAGGTTAGCAGCCACCTCTGTTACACCAATGCATTGCAGCTGTCCCCAAACTCAGCTCCCCTTGAACACATAGGAAAGCTCAGCACAGCCAAACAGTTGAGCAAGTCTGGTCCGTGCCACTCAAGCATCCCCCAGGATCCCCCATGCTCCCCACTTCTGCAGGCAGCAGCATCACTCCCATTCAGATGTCTTCCCCCAACTGTTTAGATTGCAACCCTGCATAAAAGAATTCAGCTGGTTTTGAAATGAGAAAAAAAAAAAAAAGAAAAAAAAGTAAGAAAAAAAGCCATGTATACACATGGGCTGCAGGAAGAGAAATCACACAAGGAAAGTGATCTGACTGATGATAAGCATATGGCTCGTTGGAAGGGGGTGTTTAAAAACTTCAGGCATCTAAATCCTACTGATTTCCCATGACAGCTGGGTGCCTGCACCCAAACTCCTTCAAAAGTCCACCTCATGAATTTGTTGTTTTTCTGTCCCACCAGGCAGCAGCTTACAAAACCAGGGCTCTCCTCGGTCCTGCCATTTCTCTACCAAAGAACCAAGTGGCTCAGACAAAACCCACAGCCACAGCAAACCACGCTCACAACCTGCCCACAAGCCAGCACAAGCTGTGCCTGCAGCCTCCAGGACAGTTCTGCAGATGTTTCTTCTCCCTATGGGACAGTCCAGTTTAATTTCTCTCTCACAGACCCGAAGGCCCCAGTTATACTTATCTCAGACATTCTGGCTATGCACGTTTTAGCCATATAGGGTCAAACCTGCAACTGATAAATCGGCACTGGAAGGCTGGCAGGGAGACAAGCCCATTTGTGCTGCTCTATTGTGACTGCTTTCATTTCCAGCAGACACACCCAGTGTCATAGTCAGAAACTGGCTCAAGTTTTGAAAGCCCTGCAAAGTAAAATACGCATATATCTGTCCCAAAGCTCTGGGGATGGGGTAAAACAAAGTACTGAAGTTACATATTGCCTGAAATAGAAAAGTATCCTAATGAAAATAGATTTTAAAACCTCAAAATAAACAAGAAGTTGAATTATTGCTGGCCAAGAGAGGGAAGACCATTAAGATACATTTGTATTATCACTAGTAGAAGGAACTACACTGAAATCAATGTACATGAATGGCGGGTCTGGTCTTCATTTCCAAATTTGTAGCTTCCTGGATCTTCCAGCAAAACAGTGGCATATTGACTGATAGCAAATCCTTGTGAGGTTCAGTTTAGGCTCAGGGATCATTGATGCTCAGTGCATCACTGATCCTCAAAGCATCATTTTCCCATGGAACTGCAAGGCATTCGCACAGACAACACTGCAGTTTCAAAATTCAAGGTGGCTTCTTTAAAGTCTACTAATTATCCCTGCTAGAAATGGGATGTAACAAAACCAAGGCCCTGATAAGGAAGCAGATGAGATTAGGCAGCGTGGAAGTTCTGATGTTAGCCTCCATAAAACTCTTCACTGATATTTTGCAATAAAAACATGAGCAAGCTTCAAAGGAAACAAGGGAGGAAAGGTTAATTGCTAGCAAAAGACCAGGATGGACACCTGTGTTTGCACTTTTGACACCAGCTGGCACGCCAGCAGGAAGGAGCTCACGTGGCCACACGCTGGGGATGTGCCTGATGAGCACAGCATAGCCATGTGCCAAAGCACAACTGCACCAATGGATTTGGAACATGGCTGCGGAAAAATGGATTTGTGCAGTTTTAAGAAGCCTCCTAACAACGTCATCTTCCCTCCTTTCTGCCTCTCTTCAGGCAATTTATGTCTGGGAAAATACAGCCCCAAACTGCTATTGACACTCTATAGCACTTGAATCTGATTCTCCGCACTTGGAGTCATGCACGTGGTTGCCGTGATAACCTGGGCAGCTGATAACTGCAGATGAAGGAGTAGGCTGGAAGCAAAAGCATCTAGAGAGCTTACTTCAGAGGTGTTTTTAATGCCATCACCTGCTGAGCAGGATAAAACAAGAGCTGAGGTAGAATGTGGAAGTGGCACTTTCCAACTGAGAAGATAGAGACGTTTTCGTGCCCACGGCTTCTCAAAGGTGAGAAAGAAGACCCTTAGCCCTAACATGCAGACATCAGAAGGACACGGCTTTAATCAGTGGAAGTCCATTGTGTCAGAAGCTTAGAACTCCGTAAGGGCCGTTGACCATGCCTTTAATGAAGGCATTAATGAGGGTGACTGGGGAACATATAAGAAGCAGATGAAGGAGACCCATCTCTTGCATAAGGCCAGAGTGGGCCTGAATGCACCACTGTGCTCCAAGTCAGATCCCTTAATGAGACCAGAGTGCATTTATATTTGTTTGACCTAACATTTCTATTCAGCGCTGAGGAAATCAGCACAGAGTATTTGCAAGCATATCTGAAAAGGAGGCAGGCATTTCCTCTTGCATACAAATGGGACACCTTTATCTGAATTTCTGTTTGAACAAGTATTAAAGAAAAAAATGTTACAGGCAGGGGCTGATTGATTACAAAATCTATCTACATCAGTCTAGAACACAGGAGGTCAGGAAAAACAGAAAATAAGAGAAAGAAACCTATTAGATTCAAAAGGAGCATAGAGTAGTGGTGAACTACATGAGAACCATCTGAGAGTCCTGCACCAAGGAAGCACAGCCAGGGGCCACGTTCCCTGGAGGAAAAGGTTCCTTGGCCTCAGAAACACACAGAGTTTGGGTTACCATCCCCAGGCACAGAAGGGACTCTAGCCAAGAGCTACATTACTTGAACTTTTTATCAGTTAATGTACCTGAAACTGGTTTGTGCCGCTCCCTATTCACAGAACTGTTCTGTGGAGCTAAAAACGATTATTTATTATTATTTGTATTGTAACTCAGTCTGGCGGCCCCAAGCAGGACCCCATTGTGAAAAGCATCAGGCAAACCTAATCAAATGAGATTAGATTCTAAGCAGAATGGAGCTAGTAATTCCCAGTTAAGTGAAAAACGTAAAAATAACAGGGGAGAGAAAAACTGTTTTACAAATACAAGGCTCAGCTGTAAAACAAAAGAGATTATCAGCAAGTCTAGAGATAAATGCCACACTTGAAATAGTTCTGAATCGTTACTTGAATGACCAAGGGAAAGTACTTTCACAATCATCAGTCTTCAAATACATCAGTGCTTTGCA